ACATTGTATGTGATGGACTCTAGGTGTCGTCGGTAGCGATACTCACCCACCCGCTCGAAGAGGACACTGTTGGAGTGCACCCACTCATCCCTCTTCTCCACGCGGCCAAAGATGTACGCCTTGCCATCCATGGTAAAGGGGATCGAGCAGTTGTACACGTCGTAGCCGTCGACGCCCTCAAATGTCAAGAGCGACTGGCCATGTATCTTCTTTTCTAGCTCAAATGCCTCTTTGGCGGGAATCAGCGAGCACGGCTTCGTGTTGAGGAGACCCATGCTGCCTGTTCAGCGCTGCCGCTGCCCTCGTCGATAACTCGCAAAAACTCCGCCTCCGTGATGCCTCTCCCTCTTTTGTGTGTGTGTGTGTGTGTGTGTGTATGTGCGTGTGCGTCGCAATTCTCGTTCTGAGCGCGAGTGTTCCACCTGAGGTCGCGCCCCATCCATCCATACCCACACCCACACACAATTCCCGATGCACGGTTGCATATGTGTAGGAGAAAGAGAGAGAAAAAGCGCAGTGACAGAGATGAAAAAGAGCGAAAGTGAAAGCAACATAAAAGTGGTTCGAGAAGACGGTGGTGGCTGCAACTGTGGAGTCCCGCACAATCGCGTGAAACAGACGAAGCGTCACTAGCTTGTTTTTTTTTTTTTTGCTTCACCACCGCGCAGCGACACCGTTGTCGCAGCATTGAGAGAGATATGCAAGAGTACTCACCTCTTTACGCAGACGAGTGGGTCATATCGTGTGTTGTAGCTGCGCACCTCGCAGTGCTGAGCGTTTGGCGTCCTGCGTTCACTTAGCAACCGAGTTGCGTATGCCTCACAGATAAAAAAAAAAAGTGAGCGAAAGTGAAAAAAAAAAAAAAGGCGACCTCAGAAAGTAACACTGATGCGAAACGATGAAACCTGTAAAGCATGGAAACAAACGTGCCTCCTCTTCTTGCTTTGAAAAGTCACCTAGCTGTGGCTTCAGAACATGGCATGCTCGAGGAAGCTGCTGAGAATCGTGCACGGTATGACGCCGCTCAAGCAGACAGGTCACGGGCAAACCAACCCCGCCCCCTTTTCCTTTTATTTGAAAAGCGGAGAGATGAACCGCATTTGCACCCAGGCACAGCACTTCGTCAGAAGAAGCGACACACAGAGGTGGAACGAAAAAAAAAAAACACCGTTGCCTTCGCGGAACAACCAAGAAACAAAAAAAAGACGCTCACTTCGTTTTTTTTTGGTTTTCTTCTTTTTTTTTTTTCGACCGCAAGCAGTCCTAGTGCTCCAAAGGGGATCACTCACGGCACTACGCCTAGCACGTCAAATAAAAAAAAAAAAAAACCAGAGAGGGCTCCGACAAAGAGACAGCAAACGGGGAATCAAACAGAGAGAGAGAGAGAGCACGGAGCCAGCTGACGCATATAGACGCAAAGAGTCGCTAAAAAGTCTCACAAGAGAGATGGGGAAGGGGGTGTGAATATGAGGCGCAGAAGGTAAGAGTGGAGAGAGGAGACGCCTCACAGGCGGGGGTGCGATTCAGTGCGGTGCCCGTTCAGGCAGAAGTAAAGAGTAATTATCGTTTTGTTTTCTTTTCGGGAGGGGGAGGAGTTGGCTGATACCGCTCATTCAGGTGCGACTACATGCAGTGCACCTGACCTCAAAAGTCGAGGTTGTCAGCGATTGCTCCGTGGCCCTCGAAGGGGTAGTCGATGACCATGCGGCCCTCTCGTGTGTCACCGATGCCGCTGTAGAGGTCGCACCGGCCGTCTTCGCGCATGACGATGCCGGAGACGAAGGCGCAGTCGATGAGCTTTGGCGCCTTTGCCGGATACTCTGGGAAGCAGTTCTTTGTACCGAGAATCTTGTAGCTGTAGCACTTGCTCGTAATAGGGTCGAATACGAAGGATGTGATGCAGTAGACGTTGATCACATCGCCGCTTGCATCCTTGTCGAGGTAGCCGTGATGCGAAATGCAACCAATCTTGCCGGACGTGAGGAGGTAGGGCTGGTTGACGCCTCCCCATGCGTCGCCGAAAATCGTGTGGTCGATCGGCTTCGCGGCGTCGATCACCTGCGACGACAGCTCATCGAGCGAGTTGATCGTGATGAAGCCGGTGATGCAGGTGGTGCTGGTCTTGTGGTGAGAAAAAATGCCGATCTTGCCGTCGGCGAGGCCGACGAGGCGGATGTCCTTCATCCGCTTCGGGCTGCAGGTGAAGTAGTGGAGGTCGTCAACGGGACCACGGAAGAAATCGCAGAAGTAGTCGCACACTTTTCCGTTGTCCTTGGTCACGCGCACGCCGCCGAAGAGCATCTCGCCCTGAATCTTGACGACGAAGGGGTCCTCCAGCTGCCACTGCATTGCATTCTCCACGAGGGTGTACTCGTCGTGCCCGGTTTGGCGGAAAAGACGAGCGAACGAGTTCACCCACTCACTGCGGCGCTCAACGCGGCCGAAGAGGTGATAGACACCATTGATCTTGAACGGCACAGAGCAGTTGTACACGTCGTGCGTGTCCAGGCCCTTGAAGGTGAGATAGGTAGACTCCGTCACCACCTTTGTCCGCTCAAACTCCTTCCGCTCCGCCACCATGGTGCACTCCGTCGCCTGCTTCTGCACAATCTGCGACGACTCTGTGCCCATTTTTTTTCTTTTTTTTTCTTTGCCGTGTCCTTTGGTGAGCCTATATATATATATGTGTGTGTGTGTGTGTGTGTTTTCGACTAAAATGAAGGAAAATCAAAACACGAGGAGGAAAAGAGTGGGGAGAAAAAAAAGAGAAAGCGTGCTACAGAAACAACAACAAAAAAAAAAAAAAACTGTCAAAGCAGGTGTCAGGTCGAAGGGGTGACGCTCACAACCAGTCAAACTTCGAAGACAAAAAAAAAAAAAGACGAAGGGTGAAGACAGAGGGAGGAGGGGATGGCGCTGAAGACGAGAAAAGGTACACTGGGAGGCGGGAGAGAAAGGGTGGCAGGAGGAGGGGAGGTACAAGATATGTTAGAGAGGGGGTTAGGAGATGGCACTCCCACAGCAGCTGACAGAAAAAGTCAAAGAGGCAAAAGACGAAACTGAAAAAGAGAAACTGGTGAAAGAGAGAGTAATTCAATCCTTCCTTTTTTTTTTTACTTTCTTGCTTTTTTCTTCTTTCCGGCGTGCTGCACCTCACCGAGATGCTACAAATGCAGCTCAGCGTGTATCACGAAACAAATGCTAAAGGGAAAAACACAAGAGCAAAAAAAAAAAAAAAAAACGAAATGCGCCAAAAACGAAAACTCACTTGTGCGACAGAAGCGGACAGGAAAACAGAACGGAGGAGATGGAGAGGAGAGAGGAGAACAGAGATAGAGAAACACACGAAAGAAAGGCGTACTACCACGAATGAAGTCGCGCAGTAAAACACAGTAGTGGGGGTGAGAGTGGAGGAGAGAGAGAGCTTTTGATGGATCGCTTTCGGGTCGCGAGGCTTGAATAGAGCACTTACGTGTACGTGAGTGCGTTTATTTATTTTTTTTTTATTTTTTTTTTTTTGAGTAGGTGTGTGCATGAGAGGAATGGCACCGGGGGAAAAAAAAAGGGGGGGTTAAGCAGTAGAGGCGTTTCGGATGGCGTTTGTTGGCGAACGAGCGAGAGAGAGAGAGAGAGAGAGAAGGAGTAAATGTGGTGAGGAGGTGGAGTCTCACTTCATCGCGCTGCCGTGTCGATGATGATGAGGGGCGAACACATCGCTGCCGAACATTTTACTAGCACCCTCCGCTCCTACCTCACACGGAGATACAGGCATGGTGCACTTGTGATAATCCAGAAAAAAAAAAACACAATCATGGTCTTCTTTTTTTGTTTGTTTGTTCTTCTTTTTTTGTTTGTTTGTTTGTTTCTCTTCGCTGATTGTCGCTGCAGGGCACAATTAAATTCGCTCCCCTCACCTGTGCTGTCTCCCAGAAGATGTAGCTGCAAGGCGCACCGTTGCACAGCCGTGGAATTACAAAAAAAAAAAAAAAGAATCAGGGTCGGGTGGTCTTGATGAGCAGAACTACGTCGGCAGCAACAAATCGTACCTCGCAGTGCTCGCCGCTGGTGGAGGGAAGTGCCTGTGCAAGCCACGCGAAGGAGCGCTCGTGGAAAAAGGTAATGTGCGTCGGATCACGAATGTAGTGCCAGTTGCGGAACCTCTCAATCGCGCCGTCGACGCGTTTGGTCATGATAACCAGAGCGCCACCGTCCTGTCGGAGACAGCTCCATAATTGGCGCAGCACCGAGAGAGGGTCCTGCAGGTGCTCCACCACTTCGGTGGCGGTAATAAAGTCGTAGTACCCCTCGCGGGCCAGACACTCTTTGGAGTCTGGGAAGTAGAACAAATCGTACACGTCCATAGAGCAGTTGTGCGGTTCTGCGGCGAGCATGCTGGCGAGTACTGGAGCGGGCCCGCATCCAAAATCCAGTCCGCGGCGCACGCACCCGGGGCTCGCTGCACTCTGTGTCGTGGCAAGGTACTCCGTCAGCGGGACAGTGGCGCGCGACAGAAATTGTTGATAGCGAGTGTCGCCGGGGACATTTTCATGTAAATCGTACAGCGCCTTCTCGTCAGCGCTGGAGAGGAAAAACCGATCCGGCACGAACACGAGGCCGCACGCGGCGCAGACGAGGTACTCCCGCTTCTTGTCGCGGTGGAAGTGTGACACTTGTGTGGATGTGCAAAGGCGGCAGGGATGTGCGAGGGCCCAGTCTGCGCAGCCGCGCTGCCCGACTTCCATGGTGAACGGCCTCGGTGTGCTGTGCCGTGTGAGAAACGAAAAAGCCGGAGGCCGAGGGGGGAAGTGGGGGTAGGTAACAGTGTTCTGCGTGCACTCACGGTGCGGAAGAGCGGCGCCAATCGCTCGTGTTTCTTTCTTTTTTTGGGGGGGGGGGGGGGGAGCACGGCGAACGGGAAAAACAAGGCGAGTCCGATCGTTGTTGCCTCTTGGGTCCGTCTCCGTGTGTGTGCGGCGCTGGAGTTCGAGGTTCGCCACAGGTCCTCCCTGGCGCAGTCGGCAGCGCGTTAGGCTGTTAACCTACAGGTCGTTGGTTCGAATCCAACGGGAGGAGCTTTTTTTTTTTGCCTGATTATTCCTCCTTAGCAGCTAGCAGGTGAGTGTATACGTCCGTTGCCGCTTTTCCGAGCAAGGCGCAGTTGGTCTAGTGGTAGAATTCTCGCCTGCCACGCGGGAGGCCCGGGTTCGATTCCCGGACTGCGCAAACCTTTTTTTCTTTTGCCTCCTTTCTCCACACACAAACACAAAAAAGCGCACTCCGTGGGGATCGAACCCACGACCACACGGTTAAGAGCCGTGCGCTCTACCGACTGAGCTAGGAATGCCACGACGTGAAGGTGCTCATGAGGTAGATTGCACGCCGTCCAGCAGCTCATTCTCAGCCACGAAGAGGAGGAGGAGAGGAACGAACACCCAGGAAGAAGAGGGAAATGTCGCGTTTCTGTTTTTCTCTCCCCACCTCCCACCCCCCCCGCGCTCGGATTTCGCAACCAGGAGCGCCGCCATCTTGCCGGAGCCACATGCTAAAAAAGAAAAAAAAAAAACGGTGGGCAGCGGTAAAACGAGTCTAGAATGTCGCATGGGGAGTCCGTCGCGTCTCACCGAGCGAGGAGTGCAAACGAACCACTCAGCACAACAACAATAATCAAAAATAAAAAACAGGACACCGATGGTGTCCGAAAGACACTCCGCGCGTCTGACGCCCACTCCTTCTTCTCGCTACTCTGTTCTCTTTCCCTCCCCCACAACCGCTCCTGCTGCGCCCCACTCCTCGTACATCCGCCGCACACACACACACACACAGGGCTCCACCTGCGGTACGTGTGGGCGGAGCCTCTCCATGGTGCTCCGATATCATAGCTGGCTGCCGCTGGAAGCCGAGCCTGAGTACGTCGACGGCTACACCTGCGACCACTGCCACCGCGACTTTCTCGAGGCGCCGTTCTATCATGAGGCCACCACGGGTACCGACTACTGCGTCGAATGCGGCGGCGCCGTTGGCTACACGGCGCTGAGCGGCCTCGTTGCCTCGCTCCACTTTAGCAGTCGTGAGGACGTGCTGCGAGACGCTGACACAAACTCTGTCGCCCTCTTCGCCTACAGGGCGGATGTGCAAACGACCGGCATTGTCTTCGCGAACGGCGCCAACCTGGTGCTGTGCCTGCAGCTGTGCGGCGGCATCCGCGACGCACTCGTGTACGCTGTCAAGGACGGCAAAGTGGAGTCGAAGCTGCGAATCTCGTCTGCCGATGTCGCGCGTCGCTTCCCATGGCTCGCCCGCGAACCGTGGGACGTGTTCGACGTCGAGGTGCATCTCCACGCCCTCCCGACCGTCCCGGTACCCCTCGACGACTTCTGTATCGTAGCATACGAGGCCAGCGACGACCTCATTCAGCTGCGGCTCGCCGATTCATGCATGCAGCTCCTGAATGTGCGCCGCGGCACGGAGTACGTGGTGGACGAAACGGCTACTATGCCTCTCTGTGCCTTTGCAGGAGGTGAAATCGATCCGGTAGCGAAGGCTGCTGTGACGGAAGCGGCTCTCACATTTCTCAAGAGCAGCGACCACAGTGGGAAAGCGTGAGTCCACCGCACTGCAAAATCGACGTCGGTCGCTCTGATACACGTGTGCCTGCACACGTCTTTCTCTCTCTCTCTCTGTTGTTGTTGTTTTTTTGAGGGTGGTGGCAGGAACTGATGCACCTCGTGGCGGGCCGCCACATTTTTTTTCTTTTCTTTTTTTTTCTTCTTCCCTGCTACGGTGGCCAGTCCGCATTCCATAGAGGCGCGTGTGCGGATGCGCTAAAAAAAAAAAAAAAACCTACATAGAAGAGCCTCATGCAACAGTGCCTACAAGCTTCGGCGCCATCACGTGCAGTAGCACCTTCGAAACGGCAGCTAAAGAGAAAGAGAAGAAAAAAAAAAAACAAGATAAAAAACGTCTCGTGAGTAGAAATCAGTCCTCCTCCTCCTCTACTCTCTGCAGGAGAAGAGGAGGGCGGGACATGGAGCAAGAAAACAGATGAGGTACTGGATTCCCCGTGACTCGCCTCTTGCTGTGTACAGTGGGGGGCATGCTACGCTCCTCCGATGAGAAGAGAGGAGAGAGAGAGAAAGGCAAGGGTGCGGAAAGCGTCGCTCTGTCTCACCACTCTAGAGGCCACTGGTGGTTTTTTTTTTTTTTATGTTTGTCAAATTGCCGCAACCGCTCCGCATTCTGGCGCGAACATGTGGGGAGATGCTGCAGCTGCTGCAACGAGGTGCTCTTTTCTAACCAACTTCCTCCTCCTCATTGCTGACTTCTCACCCACCACACTTTCGCCACAGCAAGGAAACGAGTGGGAAAAAATGCGAGCTGTTTCTCGCGCACTGCTACTGCTGCTTGTGGTGCTGATGGTGCACACTCATCTGGTGACGGCCGATGTAGTGGTGCGGCCATGCACGACAAATGAGTGCATTCTTGCCGCTGTGACCGACAGTAGCGCAGGGCACGTTCTTTTCTTCTACGACTCCCTTGACGTGAACAGCATCAAGGTGTACAATACACTTGTCTCTGTCAAGACAAGGCGGGCATTCACCGTGGATGCGTTGGACGTCCGTGACCCACGCTCCTCGTGGCTGCGGTCAACATTCGAAGTCGCTTATGTGCCTACCTTTCGCCACATCAAGTGGTCGGCTAGCGGGAGGAAGACACTCAGCGGGTACCCGTCCCTCGACTTTGGAGCTGCATCACTGGCGCAGTACCTTGAGCGCCACTAGATTCAAATGACCACACAGAGGTAAGCCGGTGTGAAGAGCCGTCGTGTGCTGAGGGCGTGTGCTGTTTTTTTTTTTTGTTTGTTTGTTTGTTTGTTTGTTTGTTTGTTTTTCGATGCGTTGGGCTGCTGCGCATTAGCATCGCTTGGTGGATTCAACTCTCTCCCCGACAGCGGTGCCAAACACAACAATGAAAAGAAGAAAACAAAAAAAAAAAAAAAAAAAAGCAGAGGCGAACTGACAGACTCGTGCAGCCAGTTTATGCTCTCTGCTGCTCTCCGCGCACTTTCTCCGCCGACTCACAAGCCACCCCTGGAGCTCCTGGTCGCGGTCGCCATCGTGTGGGCCGTGCTGACTCCCTCAAGACGCTGGTCCTCTCGTGGATGCGCACGTTTGTTTTTTGGCGAGCGTAGTTGTTTTTTCTTTTTTTTTTTTTCGCTCGCGGTGCCGCTGCTGGGTCCTGCTGCTACTTCACCGAAGAAGAAGCAGCTGATTCATCAACGGTGCAGCTGCGCGCCAGCATTCGGGCTCGCTACGCTCGTGTGATTCGTCAGGAATCACCCTGTGTCGTTTTTTTTTTTTCTCGCGTGTGCATCACGCCTCACTGGTCCACTTTCCCCTCCTTCTCTCCCCTCTATTCTCAACGGCTCTCGTCTCGCGTTTTCCCTCATATCGTAACCAGGTAAAACCAGGAGAATAGGCGTGGCGCGAGCCGGCCGACCTGTCTGCTGGGCTTATGATGAGGCGGACGTGGGCACTGCGGCGCCGGCACCCATACGCGATCGATCTAAAAGCACTTCAAACAGAGAAAACGCGCGAAGAGGCGCCGCGGCGTTTCTCGATGCTGCAGATTGGGGTGGACAGTGCGCGGCAGGCGTGGCGCAAAACACAGCATCTCTACTCGCTTTTTTTCCCCGAAGGCTACCGTGGGGGCCCTGGAAAATGATCGCGTTGCTGCAAGCTCTCTGAGCCTATATTTTTGGTGTTTCGTGTCAAGGTCACTGCTATCCAGTGTGTGTTGCGGATGGCCCTTGCGGGCCTCCAGTTGGAATCATGTGTGGACGTCGCATATGTCACCAGAAGTGCGAAAAGAAACAGAAAGTAGACTGCGACCGCCAATGTCGCGTTTGTGAGAGCTGCATGGCTTCGGAACCCCGCGACTTGCTCTGTTGGCGCGGGCCCGAAGGACGTAGGGAGGAGGAGTGCCCCTTTCTTTCTCTGCGCTCTCACTCTTTCTTTCTCTCTTCTTTAATCAGCTGTGTCTGCAAAAAGCAAACGAAAAAAAAAAAAGAGAGATAGGTCGAAAATGGTCTTGATCGACAAGCTGAAAACGATGGTGGGCCGGAACATTGGCTCTCGCGCCGGGAACGCTCTTACCACGTCCTCTGGAGCCGCTGCACCAACATTTGCTGAGGCGTGGAATCAGGCAAAGGCGATGACGAGCAAGCTGTTCGAGGAACGCGAGTGGCAGTGCCCGTGTGGCCACAAGTTTCGCGCGGCTGGCGAGTGGGTGGCCTGCGCGCCGATCTACTGCGAGGTCCCTTCCTGCCCCAATCCGAAGTACTACATCGACGGCCCCGGCCGCGCGCTGCTCGAGGCAAATCCCTCTGGTGTGAGACTGGAGGAGGTTTCCGGCTCTAGCGGCAGCACTGCATCGTGCTCGAACAGTAGTAAGAAGCCCAGCGGAGTCGGCTCGCGCTTTCGATGAGCACGCACGCGTGCACGCGCGCTCAAGACTCACTGAGCTGCCACATCCTTCACAGTCTTAGCCCTTACTGGTCGGAAAGAGAAGACACATCAGATGCCCGGCCAGTCCCGCTCCTCCAACACTTCTCCTCACCACTAGTGTTCGAGTCTCACACAAGCACAGATGTGCGCTGCGTGTTTTTTTTTTTTCTTGTTGTGCCGTGTGTGTCTGCATGCCGTCTCTCTCGCCCCCTTGAAAAGGGAGTAAAAACAGAAGAAAAGAAAAAAACACACACGGAACGTGGACTGCTGCAAGGCTGCATCTTGACCACGCGAGTAGTGCTGCTCATGTTAGGGTTGAAGCCGACAGGGTCATCTTCCCTAACTGGTGCGGAGTGATGATCTGGAGAGTGCACCGTATCGTCGGTGTGGCCCTCACACCTCCCTTTCTTCAATCTCCTCTCCATGCCCCCCTATGTCCTTTTTTTTTTTTTTCTTGCACTCCTCATGCCAACGATGGACCTTTCAATTGTGTGTGTTTTTTTTTTTTTTGCACCATTTTGCTCTCGCTCTCCGTCTCTGCAGCACCGCACAGTGCTCCTGCCACGCACGCTGTGTTCTGCAGAGCGGCTACTGGTAGGCACTATTGCGCAAGCAGAGCACTACGTTGGACCCTCTCCTGTATCTTCTACTTTCAACCTCATTGACGGGAACGACGGTGCCACGTTGCGCTCTCCTCCTTCGAGTTTGTTTTCTCTCGCTTCCGCCTCCCTCCCCCCACACCTCTCCCGCTGCTCACTCTCTCTCACTCCTTTTATTGTGTCCCCTTTTTTTTTCTTTTTTTCGTCTGTCTAGCTTGTTTGAAGGTACACGGCCGTCACGC